TTAACAAACTATAAATGAGTTCTGCCAAAGGCGGCATTGGGCATCATCTATTTAATAAGTAACATTACTATCATACTATCTCGCACATATGCTATGACTAACAGAGTGACTAACAGGTGTGGAAAATCACGTGGATTGTCTCAGCTGTGCTACGTGTATTTGTTAATGTATATGATGCTACAATGAAGATATAATTGTGGTAAATTCAGGGGATATAGTAGCAACGGTGTAATATTCGGTGAAATGCTGCTGCTGATGATAATAACAATAACAATAATAGCAATAATAATACCAATAATGATTAATGATAATGATAATAATAATAATAACCATGATTATAATAATGATAATAACAATACTAATAATAACAATAATAATAATAATAATAATAATAACAATAATAATAATAATAAAAATACCAATAATAGAAATACCAATAATAATTATAGTAGTAATAATAGTATTAATAATAATAATGATAATAATAATAACAATGATTATGATAATAATAACAATAATAATGATGATCATAATAATAATGATAATAATGACAATAATAATAATGATCATAATAATAATGATAATAATAATAATTATTATTGTTATTATAATAATAACAATAATAATAATAATAATAGTAATAATAATAACAATAATGATCATAATAGTAGTAGTAATAATAATAATAATGATAATGAGGATAATAATAATGATAATAATTGTAAAAATGATAATATGATAATATTAATAACAGTGACTATAATAATAATAATAACAATAATAATAATGATGATGATGATGATGATGATGATAATAATAATGATAATGATAATAATAACAATAATAACAATGATAATAATAATAACAATAATAATGATAATAATAATAGTCATAATAATACTAATTATAGTAATACCAATAATAATAGTAACAGTATTAATAGTAATGATAATAATAATAACAGTAATAATAATAATAATAATGATAATAATAACAATGATTATAATGATAATAACCATAATAATAATAATGATCATAACGAAAATAATAATAATAATAGTGATCATAATAATTACAATAATAATAATAATAGTAGTAGTAGTAGTAATAATAATAATTGTAATAATAATAACAAAACAATAATAAAAATAATATTAGTAATAATAGCAATAATAATAATAACAATAATAATGATAATAATAATAACAATAATGATAATAATATTGATAAGAGTAATAATAATAACAATAATAGTATAAATAATAATTATATCAATAATAATAACAATGATAATGAAAATGGTAATAAAATAATATTAAAAATACCAATATTAATAAATAATAACCGCAATGATAATCATTATAATGATGATGATAACAGTAAAAGTAATGATAATGATAGTGATAAAAAGTATAACAATGATAACATTGATAATAATCATAATAATAATAGTAACGATAATGATGATAGCGATAACAATAATGATGAGAGTAATGATAATAATAATGATCATAGATAATGATAACAATAATAATAATTATAACAACAAAAACAAAATAATAATATTAGTGATAACAATAATAATAATAGTGACGAAAATAATGATGATAGTTGTTATAATAATAACAGCAACAGCAACAATAATAATAATACCAATAATAATAATATTATTATTATCATGATTATGATAATGATAATATTGATGTCATAATTGTAATAATGACAATGGCCATCATCATAATAGTAATGATAATAACAAAAATAATGATGATTTAATAATGATAACAACTGATAATAATAATGACAACAATAAAAATGATAATATTAATAATAGAAATAGTAATAACAATGATAATGATAATAATAATGATAATATCAAGGATCCTGTAATAATAACAATTACTTTATACTAATGACAATGATGATAATGATCACAATCTTAATGATATTAGCAATAATTATCATGATTATGATAATAACAAAAAATGTATATAATAATGGCAATAATGATGATAATAATAATAATGATAATAATAGTGATAACAATAGTGACAATGATGATATTAATAACTGATAATGATAACAATAACAATGATGATAATGATAAAAGTAATAATAATGATGATAATAATGATTACAATAATAGTAATAGTAATGCTACTACTACTGCTAATGATAATAATAATATTAGTAGTAGTAGTAGTAATAATGATGATAATGATAACAACAACAATAATAACAATAATTATAATAATAATAATAATAATAACTGCAATATCAAAATTAATATTAATAGTAATGTTAATGATAATCCTACTACTACTATGATACTTCTGATATTGATGATAATAAGTATAATAAAGATGGTGATAATAATGATAGTAATAATAATAATAATGGTAATACTCATAGTATTAATAATGGCAATTATAATAATAATAGTAGTAATAACAACAATAATGATCATCATTATTATCATTATCATTATTACTGTTGTTTTTACTGTCATAATCATTATTGTTATCTTCTTCATTATTATTAGATGATAAAGAACATAATAATAATGATGAAAATAATGATAATGATGATAATAATGATAATGATGATAACAATAATAATAATTAATATCCATATTTATTATCATTATTTTTATTATTATCAGCATTATTATCATCGTTATTATTACTATTAGTAGTATTTATGTGATAACAGTAATAATAATAATTGTATCAAGAGGATAGCATAGATAACAGCAACGGTAATTATGGCAACGAATTACAGATAATAACAGCCAGTAAAAATGTAATTACCAATATCATGATATTGAGAGAGCCAGTAATAACCACGATGCCTTAAGAAATATAAGAATCGGGCATTGCTAAGGCAGAAATGGGTTTTATCATTTTAAGATGAAGTGACGTTCACGCAATAGGCCAAGGGAAATTTCTCGCGATCTGATTATTATTTTTATTTATTTATTTTTTTTTTTTTCAAAGAACAGGGAAAGACAACGGCGCGATTAGTTTCATAACAAGTAAGAAAGCCAAGACAAGACTTTTTCCCTGAAAATTAATACTTGCATCTGCTGAATTCTATGTATATGTATGCAGTCGCAGATATCCTTTCGCCCCTGTTCGCCATGATCTCCCACACCGAGATGTAGGAAATGCGTGTCAGTAACATTGAGGACTGCAGAATATAACGCAAGTCTGTGACAGTGAGGACCGTAACTTGCCATTTAGACTGCGGTTATGCAGACAAGAACATTTTATAAATTATGGAATGTCTATGACTTTCTAAACAACGCTTCAGCAAGTGGTTGACCTAGAGCAGTACAGAATGTGGCCAAAGCGTGTTGGTTTGGTTTCAACTGTTCAACAGAAGTTACTCGAGGCCAAGCTACAACAGCTTTTCTCGTTTCTAACATCTTGTCAGCGGTTCTAGGCTAAACAGGTATTGTAAAATGTTTACATTCAGAATCCTTTTAGAACTCTTTACGCTAATTACATGTACACATCGAGAGTGGATGAAAAATTATCAGGAGAATGTTTAATGAAAGAATTGTGCAGCTTTTATCCTTGTGACAAGAGAGAAACCTTCTAGAGACACAGTGTACATCTGCTTCAGGGCACCTCAGAGGATCAGCACGAGCTCTTAGTAACGAATGGGCACAACATGTTTTCCCGGGCACCATAGCAGCCCGAAACCTGGTCAACGGAAGTCGCCCGCTGACCTCCTATGAGAGTCTGTAACATCCGCACACCAGAATAAACGAGGGGAAATGGGTCCTGCTACTCTTTACATCAAGAATTACTTGTTCCACCCATACAAAGTGCAATGTAGAGTCCTAATAATAAGTGACTTCGTAAAAATATATAATATCAAACAACTTGAACAGCATTTGTATTGCGCAAACCATCCATGTCCGTGGCAAACTATGAGATTTGGGAGAAACGGAGGTGTCAAGGGAAATTATATAATATCACTCCTTCCAAATTAAACTTTAATCCAGGGGTGCCAAACTCATTTACCCCAGGGGTCCACATTTCATCTTAGTTGACGTAAAAAAACGTAGGTTATTTCATCCAATACAATGATAGAAAAAATGTAAGAGCGTAAATCTTAACAGCCGAAGGTCTGGCTTAATTAATCATGTAAAACTGACGACTGTAAGGTTGAAATAGCAAATGTGCCGCGGGCTGCACATAAGAGTGTGCTGCGTGTACGACATCCCTGGTCTTCTCTACTGCTTACAGTAATTCATTATTAAACTATATACAGAATTTGTTTTAGTTTTTTTCGCCTTCTGATTTTTTTTCTTTAGTTCTTAATTTCGTAACGTTCTTGATTATCTTCAGTATTCTCATGCATATTCAGAAGACCGCCTCTTTTGTGGGACTGGATAGAGTGGGGAAAATATCTCGTGAACGGCTTTCCGAAGTTCTGTGTTCTTTTATCCAAACTTTCTATCTGAATTGATACATTGGGCACTTCAGGTGTTATTCCTCTATTAATTAACGTTATCTCACTTTGCATATATTTTCAAATTATTAATTGATATTCGTGCATCTCTTGCAAGGCACAGATGCAGGAACACAAACCTTGAAGCAATGTATCCACAGAGCTTTGTCTTTGATTGCCTCTAAATTAGTGACATGATTGCATGATTAAACGAACAATTACCCCTTTTCTTGTCTGTTTCTCTTTATCTCTTTTCCTCCCTGTCATCTGCAAAAAAAATGTCAAAGTTCCCGGCACACTTTCGAGTTTGTATTGTCAACTTAAAAGCGGGCATTTCTGGTGTCTTATTCTAACTTTCACATAAAATTGAAAACCAGGTATAAATATAGACAGGCAGGCGGAAAAACGGAAATATTCACTTCAATCTCTACATTCCAACCGAAAAATATTCAAAATAGCCGCCATTCCCACTTTCCTGCATCCACTCTAGCCATCAGCTGTGAACGCATAATCAGCTGATCACCAAAACAAGACCCGAGGCTACCTGTGGGGCCACTCAAAGCTACCTGTACCTGTTTAAACCTTCTGGATCCGTGCCAAGGCATGATAAGGTACGCTTATTCATTTCACTTACAAAGGGTGTGTCTCAGAACGTAAGTCAGTCAACTATTTAAGTATTATTTAGTGTTGCTTGTTGAAAATGGGTCTTATGTATTCACTGTGGAGTATAGTACTGGTAGATATTAGGATATTAATCTTCCAGAAGACATGATTTATGCATAAGAGGTTTACTTAGCCAGTATTTTTGTTACTGAACCTGAATTTCATAAAGCAGTGAGTCATGTTTGTGTGACGTTTCATTTATTATGCTGTTCTATTCATTGTTATTATTAACTGTCTTATTACTAAATGGAACAGTTCACTTGTCATATCACTTGACCAATAAATGATGTGGATTATTATGTAAGACAAATTTCATAACAAACATTGGTATAGGTAAAGTTTTACTATTACATATATTATACAACTTGTGACATAAAGAATCTTTAGGGAGAATCTAGTCCTCTAAAAACAGTGATTTGTTGCTATGATATGGAATCTTGTTTTACTCAACTATTTGCAAGACTAGTAACATTGTTACTAATAATTTGGAAAGACCATACACTGAATTAAATGGCATTGTATTGGGCACTTAGCTATAAGGGAAAGATTGATTTACAGAGTAATATGTAAGAAAGCCTTTACAATATTTAATTAACAGAAAGAGGTATAAAGAAGGAAAAAGATGTATAAACATACAAATATGCAATTTTATACTTATATATATATATATATATATATATATATATATATATATATATATATATATATATATATATATATATATATATATATGTATATATATATATATGTATATATATATATATATGTATATATATATATATATGTATATATATATATATGTATATATATATATATATGTATATATATATATATATGTATATATATATATATATGTATATATATATATATATGTATATATATATATATATGTATATATATATATATATGTATATATATATATATATGTATATATATATATATATGTATATATATATATATGTATATATATATATATATGTATATATATATATATGTATATATATATATATATATATATATGTATATATATATATATATATGTATATATATATATATATATGTATATATATATATATGTATATATATATATATATATATATATATATATATATACATATATATATATATATACATATATATATATATATACATATATATATATATATATATATATATATATATATATATATATATATATATATATATATATATATAAGTATAAAATTGCATATTTGTATGTTTATACATCTTTTTCCTTCTTTATACCTCTTTCTGTTAATTAAATATTGTAAAGGCTTTCTTACATATTACTCTGTAAATCAATCTTTCCCTTATAGCTAAGTGCCCAATACAATGCCATTTAATTCAGTGTATGGTCTTTCCAAATTATTGTGGGTTTTTCTACCATAGTATCAACACGGTAGAGTATTTTCTTCATTCATATATATATATATATATATTCACATATATACATATACATAAATATATACATAAAGAGGTAGATAACAATAACTGTAATGAATAGAAATGTGTAAGTTGAACATGAATATGTGAATCATGTGAATGATTCCACAGTGAATTCATAAACATATCTATTTTATTCTACATATCTCAACAAATTCAAGAGCATCTATTTATCCTCTCCATATATTTAAGACATGTAATTTCTAATCTTTCAGGATGCCTTTGCAAGAGATTGATAAAGTTGGGGATAAAAGTGGTGGAGGCCATCACTCTGAGGCGTTAGAAGATATCCCCAGCACTGATTCAGGTGAAATTATATTGCTGCCCCTCCCTCCAGCAAACAACACTATCCCATCAGAAAGTGATGTCAGCATCCCAAATGAGATGGAAGATGTTGGTGTGAAGAGTACTGGTGGCATTTTAAATGAGGTAGATGAAAAGGAAGAGCAGAAGTTAACTGAGAGCAACAAAAGATCTGCTGGTGCTACAGATTTCTCAAGTCAAAATACATCCTCCATAGATGATGCAGTGCTAGATCAGGTTGAACCAGTGACAAATGACTTGCAGGAAGTAGCTGCTGATCAGAATGAAGTAAAGGAGATGGAATCCCACATTAGTAGCAATGTCAGTCAGCAGAATGAAGAAGAGGCAGAAGCATTCACAACCAAAAAGCCTCTGCAGTTCAGGAATGATGAACTCTCCTTTGGCGAAACCGAGTCAGAGTCTATTGTGGATGTAAGCCTTATTTCAGGGTCAGACAGTCTTTCATCATTAAAACCTCTGAAGATCAAGAAACGATCAAAAAAGAAGAGCACTGCGATTGTGAGGGATGGAAAGGATTCTGACTCATCTGTGTCGTCCAAGAAGAAGGGATATAGTCGCAAGATACTAGTCAAGTGCAAATTTTCTCCTGAGGGTCTCAAGTATATTGAAGATTGCCTGAAATGGCACATATTTTCTGGTTGGGTAGAGGAACGGAAATGGATTGAAAATCTAGGAAATTACAGAGATATAATAGAAATAGATGAGTGGGAAACAAATATCAATAAAAATTTAAGATATATAATCAAGAAAATTCCAGGTGTTCAAGAAAGTACAAAGTGGATTAACATAACACGTAAGTAGAATAAATATTTCTCCTTTATTTTTAAAAATCAGATTTTTCAAATGGTTTCTTTCAAGCCTCAGTCATATGATTTTAGTATATATGTTCTTTACTCCCTAAAATTAAGAGAGTCAAGTAGTGTAATTTTTTTTTTTCTTCTTCTTCTTTTTTCTTTATTTTAGCACCTTCTGTTGTCCAGCCCAGCTACTGCCTGTGGGTTTTACTTGAAGAAGCACCCATTCCTGGTCACTACTGGTTTGTCATAACTAGTGTTGGTGTGCAGTCCCTTTTCGGTCTGAAAATTTCACTGAGGATTATCAGGTATGTTAAATTTCATGAGATATTTTAACCCATAAAAGAAAGGTGACTTTCTGATTTTGCATGTCTTTTTACTGGTATGTTTAAGGAAAACATTCACTTTAAAATACAACAGGGCTGAGTGGTGCTGAGCAGTGGTGGTGTTGCATTAAGTTCACTATACACTGCCACCATTTCAACCATTTGTTTCACGTGATGGGTCTGTGGAATTGGAGTTTATTCTGAAATATCCATCCTTTGGGAGGCAGATTACATATGAGAGACATTCATTAATCTAGTACTAAGCTCCACAAGTGCTTAGCCACCAGGTAAACCTCGTGACCTCACCTGACTTTGCCTTTCCTGAAGTTTTTAGGATTTTTTTTTCCCACTAATGTTGGTCAATATTGATATTATTATTATAGACTTTTAATCATTACAATTTTACTGACATTACTAACAGCAGTATAAGATAAAAGAAATTATTTCCAAAAATCAAGGAAGAGGGTAAACAGGTTAGATCCGTAGTACTAGCTATTGGCTCAATAATAACTAAGTACTTGTGGAGCTATCTGTTTGTAAATTAATAATAAACTAAACTCATAGTGACAGCATGTACATACATGGCATCCACTGTGGTATCAAGTTGAAAATATCAGATGTGATTTTCATTCAGTATCATTATGACAGGAGCATCCATCCTCAAGACTATGAGGAAGCAGAGACCCGCAGCACAAGAAGGAAGCAGTTAGCATCAGGTGAACCAGGCAAGGAGATACAGGCAATCAGCCAGCAGTTTGCTGATTGGTGGGACCAAGCACAGCAGTTAAATTTTGCACTGGTCTGGTCTGCCATTGCTACAACTCTAACTCTTAGCAACATTCGAGATGCTCTCAGGTAGGATATTCTAAAATGCTGACAAGATACTGTTTAAATACCATATATTTGATATTTGGGTACAGGACCTAATGTAAGCCAAATATCTGTATTAAAAGATATGTATGTAATACAAAATCTTTTTCTTTCAGATTCCTTACAATTGTGATTGTCACACTAACAGTTGGCTTGGTGACGTTTTTGAGAGAATCGCATCATGTGGTGCTGAGAATCGTCCATGAAGCAGGATTATTCCTCCACAACGTGACCCCCTTCCTCCAGTCTGTGATTTCATTCATGGAGAAGATTATGGGTGGCATATATTTAGTACTAGCAGTGATGTATAAGGACTGGAGACGATCAAGTGCTCCACCTCCACAGTCATTCCAGGGTCCAAGGCAGGCACCCTTCCCCATCATGCCAAACAATACTCCTCCACCTGCCTACCCTCCAGCTGGGCCAAGAGTGGTTAAATATGTAGCTCCAGAACAGTGGGTATATAAAAAGCAAGATAATATTCAGCTACCAAATTGAAAAAGAATTCTATCAGGAATTGTTTTTTTGATTCAAGAATGGTGTTTGATCAAGGTGTTCAGATGGTATTGAATTTTTTTTTTTTTTTATACATTTAGAAAATTTGGAAAGATAGTAAAAAAAATTATGTACTAGCTTTTGCTTTTTAGGTAAAATATTTTCTGATACACTGTTATGGATATATATTTGATGGTACTAATCAAGGTATGGTGATAGCCATTATTATTAATTTTAGCAACTGCTGTATCAGTTGATAATAAGTTATTATTCTAGTCTTTTATTGCTTTTTTCCTAGTGAGATAGAACTTTATAATACTAGTCACCTAGGCTTATTGAATTAGGAAACTTCAAAATACCAAATTTACAAGAAGAATGTGATATATTTACATTTTTATAACAAATTGTATTCTTTTATTTTCAAGATCCCCTGCTCATTATGCATAGGAAACCGTGATATATAAAAGTGAAAAAGTGCCTTTTCATATTAAAATTACCATTGTGCCTGATTATGAGAATAGTTACTCTACTAATGTCCTGAAAAATAAAGGGGTGACAAATTAAATGTAGATGATGAAACTAAGACTGACACAATATATTTAGTTGCTATAAAAAGTGATAGTAACCTCGGCCAACCTATATTCAGTATAGTAGCTGCTTAAATGGGATGTTAGTTGGTTGAGTAGATAATTCCTAGAGAGAGTTTTTTATAATAGCTTAATCCTCAGTGTAGGATAAAGTACATCATTGCCTTAAGAAATTCATGAAATAACTTATGTGAGAAGAACTATTAGCAGAACTTTATAACAAAATGGTAGATTTTTTTCTTTCTTCTTCTTCTTCTTCTTCTTCTTCTTCTTTTTCTTTTTTGAAAGCAACGGTTCTCAACTGGTGGTCCATGGTTACTGTTTTGATGTTCACAATATTTGATGATAAACTGAAAACTGTTGCATGTACAGTACGAAAATAGGATCAAAATGAGTGATTAAGCATTCAGTTCACTGCATTAGCCTGTTTAAGAAATATATTGGCAATGTGAAGTTTAGGTTTTAATAGTACTGCAAGTTGCAATTAAGTTTCTTAAAGTAATTTTAATATTCACACAGCTATACCTGTCCTTAGGTGCATGCAAAGGAGGCTTTTTCTCTTTTCTTGTGTTTAATTTGTTTAGTTAATATTTTTATATTTATTTTATTAATTAATTCATTCATTATTATTATTATTTTGTTTCAATTATTACTCACAGAGGAGATGGTCCATTTTTATTATTCTGGTAGTCTATGGCCTTTAACAAGTTGAGAACCACTGCCACAGATCTTGTGATGGAAAAAAAGATAAAGTTTGTATTTGTTTCAAGACTAAAAAACATAGGTGTGTGATGGTTCTTATATTGTGATAAAAAAGAAATGTTTACATGTATTGTGATGTTGGTGGTGAAGGATATTTTATAAAAATATGTATATTTTAAAATTTGTTATATGCTAGGCTCATTTAGTTTTTAACAATTTTCTCCTATCCATATTTGGGAATTATTGTTGGCCCTTCTAGTCTTTAAATTGACTTTCATTTATAAATTTTCATAACAAAAAGTAGAAATGGCTCCAAAACTTTAAGCACTGAATCTAGCAGTACTTCGTCATAAGGTATGAGAGATGTGTTGAAAGGATGAAAGGCTGACTTTATGCCAGTCATGAATGGGCTAGGGAAGCTATGGATATGATATTCCTCTGTTTTGTTGTCTAGCCCTTACCCCTTAACCCATTGCTGCCGGGGAAAATGAACAAAAAATGGAGAAAATACTGCACTAATTTTTTATATTTTTGTGAAATATCTCTGGCTCTGCTAGTCCTGATTTCACCTTTCCTTGAACTGGTGGGAAAAAACGTATTCTTACTAGTGCTTTAAATATAGATGGTGTTATTTTTAACAGCAAATTAGGATAACGTTAAATATTTTCATAAATCGATGAAAAGGGTGAACGGGCAAGACAGGCAGTACTTGTAATTGGCTCACTGGTGACTTATCTATGTTTAATAACAATCAAACAAGTTGACTCACAGTGGGCATGGCATGTATGTACATGCCATCCCTGGCGGCAATGGGTTAAGTAGGCCCTGTGGAGTGAACCTTTTCTCTCCCCAACATACGCCAGGCTTATCATGGCCAGTCATGAAGATTTTATGCCCCAATTAGGGGCATTGAGGCTTCCCTTTTTATCAACACCCCAATGATTTTAATCCCCCAGAATCACTGACCCCAGGCTCTCCTTAGATCGTGATTCTGAACACTACTCCTCAACACCTACTATCACCTCAGTCCAGTCCAAATCATCCACCCATGATATTACTCAACCTCCAGGAAACATTTCACCTCTCCCTACATCACCTACTACATCTACTACCCCTCATCCCTTATTACTACTTTGCAGCCTGATAATCCAAAGTTTCCTTTTGAGGCTGCCTTGATTGTTCCCACCTTGTCACAGTGGCAACCAAATCCCAAACTAAAGCATTATTAACCCTGACTGACTTCACTGGCAGACCCTAATTTGTGCCCAGCCTAATCTCTCCCTCAGTGCTTGTGCTGGAATGGTTTCTATCTCCCTGACAAACTACCCAGTCGACAACAAGGATTGGCCAGATTGCAGAGAAGACTTACTCACCATTTCCCCTAGAGGCCTAAATAAGTCCTCCACCAACATTGCAAATATTACTTTCCATACACATGATCTCTCCCTTCATATTTATATTGGTGGAGAATCCCACCTTGACCATCCATATCAGCATTCACCCCCATTGATGTCAGAAATGTTGCCAAACACTTCGACTCCATAGTCTGATGCCCTCTATGTGCCCAATCTGGCCTTTATGTAAGGCCAGACAGGAAGCACGTCAATAAGGTTTGTCTCTTAATCCCTACTCCAGAGCTTCTGTTCACTCAGACCTGTACATCCCCCCTATACATATTCCTGCTCCATCTAATGTTTCCATTTCTACCTCCTTCCTCTCCCAATCAAATTCTTTTACAGTTCTAAATCCAGATGCCCCAACACCTGCCCCTCTCCCTCCTCACTCTATCTGTAGCAGACAATCTAAACATTCCACCCCATCTTCTCTTACCACACCCTCTCCTCCACCTACTTCTTGCTCTATCCCTCAGATGCCTATCTCTTCTCCACTCATAAGAAAACCTTTGTTCCTCAGACCTACCCAACCAAATCTACTTCAGAATTGCTCAAAGGCATTCAAA